CCTACACGATAACATAAAATACGTTATATAACAACCGGTATCCCGAAGCAGACTCGTCAAGACTATTTAACCTACGAAGTGTGGTGCTCCCAATTTTTATGAACATGATAAAAGTTCTATAAATTCAATCCTCAGTTTCGATTTTACAAACTTTCTATCCACCGATAGTGACCTATGAAACATGCTTGGACTGACCTGACCGACACGCAATGGTCGGGTTGTAAGTGACACCGGGAAAGCGGTGAGATTGGAGTAGACAACCCGTTAATACCAGGCCTACTATAGTCTAGATGTTATACAAGGTATATTCCTTACCTGCGATGCATGTTTGTCTGACCGCCGGCGAGCGAGTTGGGCGTAAGTTTCCCATATTTCTGGTAGCAGAGACCCAGTATCCATTTCTCACAAGATATTGTGTACCGACACAGCCAAATAAGTTAAAAACACGCCGATACAGATTAGCATGGTGTTGCACCATTTCGACCCTTCGACATGACACTTGATTTGTGAGGCTGGCCGGTGTAAATGAATAATATTTCCTTGTAGAAATATAGTTCATATAGTTCGTCGGTAGCGCATCTCACTGGAAAATGAGATAACGTGATCAGGAGAAATATGTTTTTAAATATTTTCCGAAAATTGTATTATATATTAAAAAGAAACAATGTGTACTGTGACCGTCACTATTTCCAGTTTCAGTGGAGATTTTTCATCTGATCTCTCAGCACAAAAATGAAGAATGGCGTCATGAAAAAATGATTTATAGAGGCTTGTCGGAGAGTTTTAAACTTTTATCGACGAGGGTTGATATATTTGCTATAAACACACAGGGTGAGATTCTATTTATCATCCAACATTATTCTTCCAACATTTTCATTTCGTAAACCGTAATGAACAATAGATCATAAATTCATAACTGAGACCATAATAGATTTATTTTATGGTCTCTGAAAATAATGACCATTTCAGAAGGGTTATACCAAGAATCGATATTCTTGTGTAAATGAAGCATCCAACCATATTCACAATGATATTAGTCTATTGGATATTGGTTCATGACAAACATGACAGCTGCCAAACGTGTCGCGATGACAAACTTTTATGCCTTTGTAATATGTACGTAACCCCCCAAAACATTGTACCACTGACACGCACAATGATGTCTTGTGAATGAGTGAGTAAAAATTAAGTTTTAAGGCACATCAGCAAAAATAAATTTCTTAGGACAACATCGGTAGAAGCGACAATCGTTGGAACAGGATCTGTATTTCACAGGGAACAACTCTTTTGCATCACCGTCTAGCACGTTGCAAGTCACGTGTATCAACAACACACACGAGCTGGTTATGAAAGTGGGAACGATAATTTCTCCTCATTACCGATGGAAACACATCTGATCCATACACGCGTGTGCTTGTGTAATGAAAATGTTCGTCTTAAAACGATTGTAAACAATACAACATACATCAATGTATTCCTACAGTGCACGGGATATTACCAGAATATATGTCACATGATCGGCAATGGCTGCGTGTACACTTGCGACCTCATTTGAATGATCGATATATTTTGCAATGTATGGTTATAGTTTCTGTTGCTATTTTGTCTATTTCAGTGAGTGAATATAATTATATACTTATCAATTAGTATAACGTTGCTATCTTTTTGCATTATTTTTTATACTCGAGTGTTATGCAATAACTTGTTTGCTCGTTGTTTAACGCCGCACTCAGCATTTGTCCAGCTATGCAACAGCGGTCTGTAAATAATCGAGTCTGGACCAGACAATCCAGTGAATTACATCATGAGCGTCAATCTAGACTGTTGGAATCATCAATTTAACTAAGTCAGCGAGTCTGACCACCCGATCCCGTTAGTCGTCGCTTACAAGCATAAAGGTTATTTTTAATGAAATCATTCTTTGATGATGATGATTATAATTATTAATGACCTCCAACGTGATTCCGGGTTATAATAGTTACCAGTTTATCGTACGTGGCGACTCAATAGATCTGTCGACTTGTCACTAAAGTGGTTGATTGCAGGTCATCGTACTCTGATAGCGTTGGACGTTGCTCACAATATCAATCACTGGTTTGTTTGGTCCGGATGCCGAAGCCCCGGATTCGATTCCCCACATGGATACAATGTTTTAATGTTGCTGTAAAACGGCGTAAAACCAGACTCACTCAATCACTGATCCAGAACCGATTATAAAACTTGAGTATTGCTCAGTGCAGCATTACACAACAAAACAACAACGAACTTTTTACAAGCAGGGTGTTTTCTCATACAATAATTATTCTACGTATTCTGACGACAGGAATCTGTGCCCATGCTATTAATCACTTGTTTCCAGACACGATCGTTTAACCCATGCGCAAAACAACACCCACTCACTCCATTTTGTTTTCAAGATAAATCTGAACAATCATTGAAACAATTGTTATTTTTTTAAGAAAAAAACAATGTATGATAATTTTAGCTTAAACAAATCCGACTGAATGAAATACATACTTATTTCAGCAGGAGTAGTTTGCATTGAAATTCTATTTAGCGGACAGTTCCTTAACCTTATGCACAATAACTAATATACTACTTAAAAAAATAAAGATCATCCGATTCTTTCACATTACAGTAGTTCATGTCATGACAGATGAACTTTAGTTATAAAACAGAAACAGGTGATCCTTAACTTTTTTTTCGTAGTATAGCTGTAACCCTTTTTATCAACACGTGGCTACCTCGTGCAATAGTAACGAAGCGGCACTTTGTTTCCCACGTAAAACGGCTTGACCTTATATGGTCGTACTTTATGGTCAGTGACATGCGCACGTACGTGTGGGACGGGGTAGGCAGCTCGGAATTCAAGTCCTTGGTGACCTCCGTGAAACCGTTGTGATAAGGTTTACACTGCTACAACGTGTGCTAATATACGTATGTCGCGGTACTGTAGAGACAATGATTGAAGCTCGGGGTCAAACGTATGTAAGAACATTAAACTCGTTCTTTGACAACCGCGTTCATTAGAACTAAAGTGAGGTGAAATGGTCCGGATAGACTTGCACAAGTCTCTTCGCAACAATTATTAGTTTGAATCATAATTTTAAGATTATATAAATAATATTTGTTTGTTTGTTGTTTAACACTGCACTCAGCAATATTCCAGCTATATGACGGCGGTCTGTAAATAATCGATTCTGGACCAGACAATTCAGTGATTGACATCACGAGCATCGATCCACGCAATTGGGATACGATATGCATCAACCAAGTCAGCGAGCCTGACAACCCGATCCTTTTGGTCGCCTCTTACAAGCATGGGTTGCTGAAGACCTATTCTACCCCGGGTCATATAAATAATAATAACATGTTGTCCATATAAGAGACTGGCGTGCTTAGATAGACCCATGGATATATAATTCAGTACAACCCTGGAGCAAGGCTATAGCTCGGACTAATACCGGTGTTATAGTGTTAGCCCACCAAGATACATGGGTACCCCACTGTGACATAATTTACTGACCCCGAGCCGATCGATCCTTGTTTTATCCCCTTATGCCGAACGCTAGGCAGGGTAACACCAAGTACCACGTTTTAAAGTCGTTTGGTATGACGGGGCCGGGGATCGAACCAAAGACCTACGGCTATCCGGGCAGTCGCTGTGTCCACTAGATCACAGGGAGGTCCAGATCTCAGGAATAATACCCATATAACTAAGCATCAGCATTTTCAGTCATTAGTGTGAAATAAAATAATTACATGTTAATACCCTTTGCATTAATGATATCACATTTGTAATGATCGCTGACATCTACCATAACAAACCCATGCAGTGGTAAGCTGATATTTTCACTGGGGAACACGCCTTGAGTAGTTCACATCCACACTATACAGATTAATTATCACCAACGTTAGTATTTCTAATAATCACTACTCACAACGAATACTGACCCAACCAACAGATTTGAAATTCTTACTTCCTTGGCTACAACAGCTTGACATGCTTACATTGAAATAGTCTCTTTTCGTCAGACCCGTGAAGATCCGGGACAGAACAGGTCTTCAGCAACCAATGCTTGTCATAAGAGGCGACAATGCTTGTCGTAAGAGGCGACTAACGGGATCAGGTGGTCAGGCTCGCTGTCTTGACTGTGGAAAGCATCTATTAGGCGTGATAAACTAACATGAAATAAAGGTAAGGTGAGGTGAAATGGGGTTTAGCGTCGCGTCCAAGATTATTGCACTTGTATAGCGACGTGCTTGCATGTGTGTGTGTGTGTGTGTGTGTGTGTGACTGCTTGTACTAGTCCGGACTGATGCCGATTTATAGTGCTAGGCCACTGACATACCATGCCGCAGTTTAACATGAATACCCCACACAGTATACTGACTCCGAGCCGACTAGTCCTTGTAATAAAGGATTGTGTTGCGATCGTGATTAGTTCAAAAGTACCCGTGCAGTTTTCTATATGACCAATGAAGACATTGTGTTTTTAATGCTAACAATGTATATAAAAATCATGTATCTTTTTGCATTGTATTCAAATTACACTGTATTAGCTACGTGTGTGAGGTTGTAAACCTGCGCATGTTGAGACTGTAGTAAGTGTGAACTGGCCAGGAAGTATACCTGTTCACACTTCACTTCCTACAGGTCCTGACCCGTGAACATCCGGTGTAGAATAGGTCTTCATATACCCATGCTTGCCGTAAAAGGTGACTATGCTTGTCGTATAAGGTGACTATACTTGTCGTAAAAGGCGACTAACGGGATCGGGTGGTCAGGCTCGCTGACTTGGTTGATGCATGTCATCAATCCCAATTGCGTGGATTGATGCTCATGGTATTAATCACTGGATTGTCTGGTCCAGACTCGATTATTTACAGACCGCCGTCATATAGCTGGAATATTGCTGAGTGCGGCGTTAAACAACAAACCAACCAACCAACCAATCCTACAGGTCTTGGACCTTTCTTACAAAAACAAAATACTTACATTGACTTTAATACTTTGTTGCGAATAATACACAGAATGGACTACAACTAGAAACCTAGATAACAGTTCACTGAATAAATACTGAACAACGATTAAGGCCACAATGAATGCAATTATAGAAGAAATAGCGACATATTACACACAATGTACATAATTAATGAAGTTTCTTTTAATCCAAGGATGTCAAACTAGGTATCAGTTTCTTTGTCATTTGATGGTGTCACACATAGCTCTCGGCATCCCCCTGTCACATCACCAGATTATGGTCTATGCTGCTGATGCATCATCTTGTGTCAGTCCTATTAGTTGCCAAGTCACCCTTCGAGTCTTTAACATCTAGGCCAAATAGTTTTTCATACATCAAGCATTTGTTATCTCCGAGCTGGATGCCTCTGTCGACATCTGCCAGCGTCTGCCCCCTCGGATGTTCCCGGGGATCCAGCACACCCTCGGCTGCTCCCATCATCATCACCATCCGCTTGAACATGCGTCCCCATGCTTCAGCAGATGGAATTGCATCTGTTCCCTGTAACAGTCAGGGGTATGTGTGACATAGTGTGTCAAGTCTAGATAATGGGGGGCACGGGTGGCCCAGTTGTCTAAGGCGCCGCGGTTCGCTGTGCAGAGTTGCGTCCCTTGGGTAAGCCAGAAATCTATGATTGTGGGTTCGAATCCCGGTTCGCCCCAATTATGTTTCTAGGTTTGTCAGCACCATACCCGTGCTCGTGGGTTTCACCGAAGTGGTAAACGTCTGAGACCTGCATCACTTCGGGCTTTCCTCCCACATTAAGCTGACACGCCGTGATATAACTGGAATATTGTTAAAAGCGGCGTTAAACCCAACTCACTCACTCACTCACTCACTAGACAATGTTTTTTTCCAAAATATTTATTGAATTATCTGCTTTAGATAAGTCTACAATTATAGCCCTGTCCAATTATGTATATTTGCTTTAAACAGCTTCTATTGGATTAACATAACCTCTTTCTACGTACATATATGAAATTATTAATTCCAGTATTACCCAGTGGTGCAATATCACCCCCCTCCCAACCAACACCCCCCTCACCCTTGAATCTCGACCCTGTACTCAGAATCTCATTTTCTCACCCCTGAATCCCGAATACACCTTAAGACAAATCTCGAAAGCACATATGAGAATTCACCCTACAAAGGCAGAATATCCATACTCGGCAACAATGGTTTTCTTAAGATCGGAGAGAACGATATTCATGTGGCAGCGTGAAAAAAGCTTTTCTGCACCGGTGTTCTTTGCGAGTCTTTAAAATTCAGGTGAAAAGTTGCCTCTGAGAACATGATAAAAGGCGCTGAGATAAACCATGGGCTGTTTGGGAAGTTCTCAGCCTTACACAGAAGGAATTGTGTAACAGTGAATCTTTTGGTGTGGTCATTACGTGATGTGATAGATATATAGCCACAAACATATTGAGTCAATTGAGCAAATTGTTCTCTGTTACAAGACGTTAACTATGCAGGGGTCTGTGTCCTTTGGAAAGTGGACAAACTTGAGGAAGGTGCAGTGATCAAATACTTGCAGATTGGTGTTTGAACTTAACATGTGGCGCTGCAGGAACCTATCAAGCAATCCTCCTATATCGCGACAATCCACTTTTCCATAACTAGTGGTGTTACAATGATGCTTTAGTATAGTGAGTGAGTGAGTGTGGTTTTACGCCGCTTTTAGCAATATTCCATCAATATCACGGCGGGGGACACCAGAAATGGGCTTCACACATTGTACCCATGTCGGGAATCGAACCCGGGTCTTCGGCGTGACGAGCGAACGCTTTAACCACTAGGCAACCCGACCGCCCCTGCTTTAGTATATTAATGGAGGGATCTGTGTGGATGGATTCTAAGTATCAAACTTGTGATATCAGACAGTGACATGTAAAATATATCTAAACCGGATTTACTTTTTATATACTTTGGGGATTATCTGGTTCGGTAAGCCACACCTCTATGTTTGGCGGATCCGTGTCACATACCTTTATGACCCCAACAAGAGATGACTGAACAAAAAGATACAAGTTGTTTGAAAAAAATCGATTCCTCAATAAACATTCACAACAACATGTTGGTATACCACAAATCATTCACGCAGCGTATACAGGTGTTTCAACGAATTATTCCGAAGGGTCTCTTGCCTTGTGCAAAATGGTTCAATGTGGCCCAAATAGCGATATAACTACGCAAAACACTCACTCCAACCGCATAGCCCTTAGTGTCAAATTAGCAATGTCAAAGAGAACCATCCACTGGTATCTAAAATATATATATGCCAGCGTGAACGAACTCCATAGTCCTAGGCATTCCAAACGTGATTAATAATACATTTAGTCATGTTTTGTTCTGATGGAAGCCTTCAAGAGACACCTCTTGTCACGGAATGACACGAGTTGGTCACGAATGTGTAAAGAATGTCGCTGGTATGCCGGAAACAGACGAAAACCTATAGAACACGTTCCAAGGTCATAAAAGGATGCGATTTGAAGTTAAATTACCGATATAAATATCGAAGACATAAATTATATAACGGATTTTGTTTACGTACACAGCATAATTTTTTTAGAATGTTGAATCTGCGTAGAAAATATGATTTTATTTGCGTCCTGCGTACCACAGTGCCGAGTCCTGAATACTCTCTAAACAGACCCCCCAAATCCCGCGTACCAAAAGGGCGTTGGCAGTCTCTTTTATGTACGCCTCTTTGTATATCAAGTTTTGCATATATATGCTGTTCGGCCAAGGCCTTTTTAACTTCGTGAATAAACATACGTCTCTAAAAGATTTACAGAACAATCTTACATTGTCCGATTGCAGTGATTGAGAACTAAGATTTAGAGAAATCTTACAGCGTCTTATTGCAGTTGTAGCGGCCATAAAATGTCCGAGTCCCGTAATGGGATTCGAACCACGGACCTTCTGAGCAGAGGTCGGACGCCTTGTCCACATGACCAAAGAGGTTAACCCCGTCAGCAAGCTGACAAGGTAAGGATGTCATCTGTGGGATGACACTACGCCCTGCTACACAATGAACACAGAGAACTAAGATTTCGAGAAACCTTACGGCGTCTGATTGCAGTGACTGAGAACTAAGATTTATGAAAATGGAAACCTTTAGACAATCGAACAATGACGAGCATTCGTAGTATAATTTAATTATAGCTTCTGATGAATAACCATTTTGGGAAAATCATATAACAATCTAACCTAGACCATGAAATCAAATCACAATGACGTTCGCCATATTGTCACGCGACAGCAAGGATTTATTTTCGTTTGCTTGTTCTTTACCATCTGGGGCTTCGTTGTCTTTATTTTTCCCGTAGGACCTATCTTTACTAGGGTTGTGAACCCAATACTATTGTACAGTCATTATTTTGTTGGCCAGGGTTGCGAAAATATCGGCGATCAAACTCACTTGACTCATAAAATGAGTCTACCGTAAACTTTGACGTTGTTGTGAGACGATCTCCAGTACAACGTTAGGTTTTCTAATGACATGGAAACATTTACTTGACTGAACCAATACAAACATATTTTGAGTGATCCTTCTTCTCAGATTTGATGTTTTTTGTCTTGTGACTTTGTTTTCTTTTTCTGGTGGATTTATCACTGTCTTTTAGCGCATTCATTCTCCGGAATCAATATTCATCCGGAAGTTTTCAAGGTCAACGAAGCTCCAAACATCGATTAGCGCTTCTTTTTAAAATTTGGTGTAAGGAGTTTTGAATCTGACTTACAAGATTTATATAGATATATTAAAATTGAAATACTATCGCACGTTCTGTAAGCACCGTAACGGGAACATATTTGTTCTGAGTCTATGTGTTTCTGGGCAAACGTTGAGAGATATATTTTTATTACAACATTCATGAGATGGAAAGTACTCGCGCCATACCAAACTTTTAGCAGATCATAATAATTATGCTTATAAGGATCTTACAGACGCTACGTGTATTTCACTCAGTTGTAGACACGTGCCCTATTTAATATAGCCAATTATGCTTCATTTGGAGTGTGAGGTATGTGCTGTGTATATGAGAGCGAGAACTGTGCGCAATATAAGGCATTTCTTCTCTTCATAAGATCTCACAAGGGCCAAAAAAAGGCAACTAACGCATATGGAACCTTGTGTTGTTTTACAGTTCTCTACAAATAGATAAAGACATAAATACTTCCTCTGATTGCTATATTTCATGCATCAGTCTGTTTTAATAAAACTAAATTCACGAGCACTTGTTGATATACTGGAGGTGAACATATATTAATGATTTTACGGTCTACCTAAGAGATTGGTGATGGGCGCAACCGACGTTGGATACCAGTTTTTGTACAACTAGACTGGGTTCCTGTCTACCTCGCGCTATGCGTCGCGTACCAACATTGGAACCAGTTTAATGTATACCATTCAGAGTTACTTCCCTTAGATCAGCGCCATCTGGCCTAACGTGGACGAACAGCGGCAGTGCTCGAAGCACAGTGTTGTGAAATAATTCCCGAATACTTCGTAATTATATATGGTTACAAATGTTCAGGCGAAAATTGCATGCCCTTGACTGTCAAAATGCTGAAAAATTCAACGTAAATGGTACGTTATAGTGCTTCTAGCAATTATTATTACAGCTACTGCAGGCGATATGCACATTTTCACTCAAACATCGGCTCTTTTAGTGCCTCTAGTTTCTTATTGGATTTTCTTGATATAGCTGAATTAACAATAGTATAGCATTTACTCCATGTTTCCGAGGTAAATAGAGTAATATCTGTCACATTAATTGAACATGTAATTTTTTGGAAGAACTAGAAACGTTATCAGGTTATGGGTTTGAAGTAATTAAAAAGGAATAAAGACTTTGCCTTGTATATACTAATGACTATGTTGCCTTATATCAGTAGAGATGAGAACAGCCGCCCATTGTGTCACATGCTTCACTGATAAAACTTTAAAACTTTTTCTATCATTGTTCCAGGTTGAACGAAATTACTAACACATTAAATATTTCATATGCAAACTGTTTCTTGTTCAATGTGGGGGCACTGGAGGCCCAGTCGTCTATAAGGTGCCACAATTCGCTGTGCAGAGTTGCGTCCCGTGGACACGCCAGAAACCTTTGATTGTGGGTTCGAAACGTTGACACTGTGTATTCCGGACGACAGTTACGGCCCGTACCTATGATTGTCGGGTTTGCCCCGATTATGTTTCTAAGTTTGACAGCACCATACCCGTGCTCGTGGGTTTCTCCCGAAAGTGATAAACGTCTGTTACCTGCATCACTTTGGGCTTTCCTCCTGCATTAAGCTGACACGCCGTGATATAACTGGAACACTGTTAAAAGCGGCGTTAAACCCAACTCACTCACTCTTCAATGTTCGACTTCCATGACACAAGGGTGTGCAACTATATTATAGCGGTAACACAATTTCGTGGTGTGATATGTGTGGATAATGTGGTTTACATCACTTCCTAGTTTGGATTATGCATAGTCAGTATGCATTTGACCAAGGTTGGTAAAGGGACATCTAGGGTTCTTTTCTAACCAATTTTTGAAAGGAAGTAGGGGTAATTCCACTTCAATAACATTCCAGAAACTATCATAAGAAAGTTAACGTGTATACTTATGAGTAGACGTGACATACTGCAACGAGTCCTGTATTCGACCAAGCGATGAAATATTGTGCTTAGATTTTTCTAAGTAAACAGTTGACAGGGTGTGTGGATTACGAGATTTATCGACACCGCGATAATATAGCCATATATTGATATGAATGAAAGGCAGGTACATGCCGAAGCTCATTAAAATCAGATCTAAGTTATCGCTGCCGCTGAACAAAGATCTGAGGACATCCCATTACGGGTCACGTCAGAACGATCTTTCGCGAACTTTGACCGACCACTTAAATGACTAACAAGAAGACGACATCAGCCAATAAGAAAGCAGCTTTCTCGAGCTTTTCGGCACTCGTTTCAACCTAGCGACTTCCATTTCAGACTACGCTTGAAAAATATGTTGACACAGTTCTTGATTAAAAGTTTGAAAACTGAACACACGAACATTCCGGAAGGTCTAATATATGGTTGAGATTGTATAGCAGTGCTTCCCACGTACTGTGCAACGCCTCCTCCATGTCAACGTTTTCGAAGTTGCATGATTAGAAAACACATTCCGGCTGTCACTTTCATGATATGGTAAGCGACGCTTTGATTGGTCGGATGAAAGGTCGTTCTGACATGACCCGTAATGGGATGTCCTCAGATCTTTGTTTAGCGATAGCAAGAACTAAGATCTGATTTTAATGAGATTGGTACATGCCACACCGTAGGGAACATTGTTATGCTGGATTTACTGATTAATCTATGACTTTTCTTCACAGATGAAAATGAGTTCCGTAACATGATCTTGTGGCTGGAGGACCAGAAAGTCCGTCACCACAAGATTGAAGACCGAGGTGCTCTGAGGAATATACACAGTCCAGATTGGGAAAAAGCATTTGAAATTGTCAGTACCTTGAACTGTCTTCATACTTAACACTCCAATCACTGTAGAATTGATTTTTTTCAAATCAAAACACAACCATGGGGTTTTAAAACGGTTCTATCCTTTCATCAATGCAAAAGAAAAAATTCAGCCTGTAGGTATCACTGTTGATATAATCATAAAGCATGTTTCTCATGACAAAATCAAATAGGATACATAAACTAAAACTTAAAATGTTTGAAACATCCTGTCTGTTGTTAGTTATATTTAATTTGTTCCTGTGTTCAGTATCTGAAAGAACTGAACTGCCCATACAAATGTGGAGAGAAGTGTGCGGTCATGGATTGGCTCCTTGGTTTTGCTGTAAGACTGGAGTATGGGGATGATGGTAGGTTTGTTTTAGTGCTGTCTTTGTACTGTTGTCCTAGCTGCTTAAGTATGTATTAAGAGTAGTTAAAGGGATGAAGGTTCTACTGTCGCTAAGTGACACTGATGAACCAGTGGCCTAAGTAAAGGCAGTTCAGCCACTGCCCCTTGACAGGATGCTGGTGATAGTCGAATTACAGATTACATTACCTGCATCACTTCAGCCATTCTCATATATGTGCCTTGATATAACCATGGCATAACCATTATATATCCACTATTTAACCATTGTATAACCATGATACATCAATTCTCCTGATATGATTGGAGCAGTCAATATGGTACTAAATCCCTCTCTCATTGGCTGGTTTACCAAAGAATGGCCATGACATACTGGGGTTTATGGAGAAAAGTACTGTGTGCCTGAATGGAGAAAAGCAACCTTGTTTCTGTATGATTTCCATTGTTTAATCATTATAATGCAAATGTAATCTGTTAATAGTGAACATGTTGCAAGTCTAGAGTTTTTTATTTCATTATGTCCATATGTAACCATGATGAAAATGAACAAGATGATTAAAAACACAATGGAAACTACAAATCTGAGAAAATGCATCTTTTCATTTAGGTGAAAAATACAGAAATGTGACCCCAGAGAGCGTCCAGATGAGCCGGACTGGTGTGGCAGGATCGTCCAGCAATCCCCTGGACAGTCTCAACTGTAAGTTGCCATGGTTACGATAGCATGGGGGGACTAATAAGATATTTGTTATGTTGATTATGTTTATAAATAGTAAATAACAGTGTTCATAGATTGTAAATACCGTATTCAACGTAATAAGCGCCCCGGGCGCTCTCACAATTAGAAATAGGGGGCGCGTATTAGAATATTATTTTGAGTTGAAAGATCGTAAATTTCATGGTTTATGCTAACAGCCTGAAGTGTTTACATACGACAGATATATTTTTCAAGAATTTAATTGCCCATTATTAAGGGTGATATAACACACGAGTGCGTATTATACACGAATAAAAAAAGTCTTGTGTACATTGATCAATCGGAAGGGGTGCTGATTGGGATTGTTTACTAGCCAATATATTAGGAAATATCGCCGTGGGCGCTTATTGGAGCGGGGCGCTTATTACGTCTAATACGGTACATTGTACATTAGCTACATGAGTGAGATCAATTGATTGCTAAGTTTGAGGGGAGTTGGTCATGATGGTGACATCACTTCCGAAATGAGGATGTTGTGGTGGAAGAGTCCGGGGTATTTATCCTAATGGAATGGAGATATGATACCCTGGATAATGGAGGATGCTGTCCACACTACACACTGTATGATGCTGAGCCAGCCAACCATTGGTTGTCATAAATACTGCCAACAACCCATTGAAATCTAAATACTAATAGTCCTTAAACTGGTATGTTTTTAAGAATGCTGAGAAAATTTCTATTCTAACAGATACTAATTTGAGGAGATATTCATCATATGTAAGGTATTATTAGGAGGATGAAAAGTAACAGCAGTAAAATAATAGAATTAGGCTTGATTTTGACGGAGAGTATTCTCATTGCCATGGGTTGGAGGTAAAGTCACCACTCTGCAGAGAGCTCTCAACATAGATTTGTCCAATTTTCGTGTGAGATGTTTCAAGTATCTTTTTATCAAGCAAATACAAAGAGACATGAGATTTTTGGTAAATCCGCCTCCCAGGAACAGGGGCGAGTGCAGAGAAATATCCCTTCATCCCAACACTTTGTCACACAATACACAGGGTTTATCTAGGATTTTTAGCTAAGTGCCCCTGGTATGCAAATTGGGATTTTTTTAAATTTCACATTTTCTTTATTAATGTGTTATTTTGTAAATGCATTTTATGCAATAATATAAAATGAAGCATTGAAACCTGTTCCTATATTGGTCTTTTTATAACATCTTCCCGAGGCAAGTGAGTTAACTGACTATAAAAGTCCAGTTTCCACCCTTGCCGAACTAGGCTGGGATTATGGAGTTACATTTTGGCTTGACTAACAAGTCTATGCATAGTCCAATCAAAATCGCGCGCCGAAATTGAAATCTGGTTCGTAAAGTGTCATGCAGATTTTGGTCGACTGCAGGATTTGCAAAGCATGTGCTCAGCTAACTCGTTGTCAACAGATATTTTCTAAATCTTTTCATGCTTTTAATCAAGGTGCTCACATGATTTGATGCACTTCGCGATGTAAGACTCGTTTTATCACAATATAGATCTTGATTATCAATCAGAACGTCTTGACTGGGCGCCACCGTTTTGTTTGAAGCAAATGCAAGTGATACGAGAGGTTGAATCTGATTGGTCAATAGGAGAGGCATAGAAAGGACATAACTTGTAATAGCCACTGGTGGCGCTACGATCGAGCCCAGGAATTCCAGCCTAGTTCGGTAAGGGTGGAAACTGGACCTTAAAGTCAGTTAACTCTCTTGCCTCGGGAAGATGTTATATAAGTGAATATAGGTTACTTCTACAAAACCATAAGATCAGTTATTTGTTGCATATGTACATTATAAGATGAACTGGGAAATATTCAGTTCCAAATTTGGAAGTTTTAATGACATTTGTCACAGACTCGGGACCGAATATCGGCCTCTGAACAGGTGTAGATATATGCATAGAGCATGTTTCCGAGAGCCCCCCACCCCTAGTACCAGATGTTCATACTGATGTTACGTTGTGATTTTTACTTTTCCTTGTCCAGTTATCTTTACGTATATGTTTGTTTTTACAAAGTGTATTTCCAAAGTGTCTCAGACCTACCATGTCTGCCAGTCATCACCAGCACCAGACTGTATCACTCAGATTGTATTGTCATTGTATCTTTCTGATTGCCAGTTGACGATCCAGACTTTAAGGCAGGAGTTGCCTCCCTTGCTCTGATGATGCAGGTGCCCCCACACCGTGACCATTTGGAACAGCTGAAGGTGAGGCTGATGACTGTACATGTACTGTTGTGTCATCGCTCGCTAGTGCTAACATACCCTGAATATTCATTTGTCCAATCATGCTGATGAACTATTAGTCCAATATAGCAGTATTTTCCTTTTGTTTGTTTGTAGCTGACTGACTAAAGAACTTATCCAGTGGTTTATGAGGTCTGATCTGTACATGTGTTGTTGTATGAGTTTATAGCATGGGGAGCAGTGTATGAATACAGTCATGCCCCGCTTATACAGACTTCAGATATCCGGAAACCTCGGTTCCCGGACGATTTTCATTCAAAACGAAATAATTACTATATAAATTTACCCGTATATCCGGAAATTCAGTTTCCGGAACCGGACGGTCATTTTCATACACAAAACACTGAAATGCACACAAAATTGTCTCACTTATCCGGACAATACACTTCCGCTGGTGGTAATCCTTCCGCTGGTGGTAATCCTTTCTTTCGTGAGAAGTCAATTAACCAAGTGACACTGAGTTACATTTGAGACAAGCTTGTTTATTGTACATGTAATCCCCTTCGATAAATATGGCGTCTGTGGAGGTCATAGGTCAACCAGCGAAACACAAGCGACACGCAGTTACAGCACGCGAGAAAAAGGGACATTTGTCTGTTTAAAGAAAAACACCCGTCAGCAAGTTTAGAAACCATCAGTAAGCATTATGGCACTGAATTTGGACATACCATAGGAAAATAGACAATTGGTGACAGTTCAAACTTCCATGACAGACTTTTTGAAACGTGTATGAATAAAGATTGAGTGGATGTATCTGTCTGCTCTGTCATCTGTCATTTGTTGCATAATTGAAGGGAAGTAACTCTTCCAGTAAGAAGCTGGTTTCAGTTATACGGAAATTCGTTTATACGCACGAATTGTGAAATGACACAAGTGTCTGTATAAACGAGGCACGACTGTACATGGAACAATTTTGTGGATAACAACTCCTTAATTCAGGGCTACGTCTTGCCCCTTCACCAGGTGAATACTGTAGATACCCAATAGTCACCTGCGAAGGGGCAACAAGTAGCCCTGAATTAATAAGTTGTTGTCCATAACAATGTGTCATGTAATCAGATCTTCCAACTTCTAAATGCCTATGAAAGACTATATATAAGGGTACTCACACTTCACTAAATGATGACCACCGTCTTTGATGTAACTTCTTTTTGTCCAGGCAATCTGTATACTTGTGAAGGAGAGATTGTCTAAGACCAGTGTAGAGTCCTTGACAAGCGCTAATAATAGCAAGGTAAGCTGGAGAGTTTACTTAATTCGGAGACTTTCTTCAGTTTAGGAAATTCATGGGAAGATATGTGCAGCTCTGTTTGGATGAGTTTAATATCCCTTCCAGTAAACATCAACATCAAGTTCTGTTCTGTAGTCCCAGGCTCGGATTGGCTCAACACATTTGCCACAGTTTCACCATTGAATGTTAAAGCGTTCACTCCTCACGCCGAAGACCTGGGCTCGATTCCCCACATGGGTATGATGTGTGAAGCCCATTCCTGGTGTCTGCTGCCATGATATTGCTGGAATATTGCTAAAAGTGGCGTAAAACCATACTCGCTCACTATGATGTGAATCAATCATCTAGGCATAGGATGTCTTACTGTTGTTATGCTTATGTACATGGATGATTATATGTACATATATCACCTTGCCTTTACTTTCAGAATGAATTGATTCCCTTGGATAAAACTGAGCTTGGATTCGAGGCAGGAGGTTTGTTTTGAGTTGTTCCCTTTCTCTGTGATTACTGGTCACATCGATCTGTCAAATATCATACTGGAAGGTCTGAATGGCCCTATGAGCGTATGTCAATCTGTATTGTCTGTACATTCAATGCTTGCCATAAAAGGCGACTGTGCTTGTCGTAAGAGGCGACTATCGGGATCGGCTGGTCAGACTCGCTGACTTGGTTGATGCATGTCATTGTATCCCAATTGCATGGACCGATGCTCATGATGTCAATCACTGGATTGTCTTGTCCAGACTTTTTTACAGACCCCTGTCATATAGCTGGAATATTGCTGAGCGCGGCGTAAAACAACAAAAACAAACAAACAAAGCAAAGCTTACTCATCTGATTGGTGCATCACTATATTTAAAATTACATCAACTTAATCGTTTTAAGTAACTGCATCACAGCAAAAGCTTATGTTCATGTGAAGCTTTTATTTTTCAGTCCCGATCGGTAGTGAGTTTCTGGTATTGGTATAAGAGCATGTAGGTTACACTAAATTATTGATTGCTTGTGGGTTCACCAAAGTGTTAATCATCTAAGACCTGCATCACATTTGGCTTTCCTCCCACATTAAGTTGACACACTGTTATATAACTGGGATACTGTTGAAAATGGCGTTATATCTTTAGTTCTCTCTTTCAGACTCTGGTATACTTAACATTCCTTACTATTTCTCCCCAGACTACATCATGACGGAAGCGGCCAAGATTCTGCGACTTATGCACATCAAGGACTTGCGTGACTTACAGACTCAGATTAACTCGGCCATTGTTGCTGTTCAAGCTATCACAGCAAATCCTAAAACAGACAGTCGGTTAGGAAAAGTGGGACGCTAACAACTATAGGCTTACTCTATGCACAAGTTTGAATCCTCACGGACATGGACGCTAATTCAACAGTTGGCTGCTGACCTTTACATCTCACTGGAAGATGTGGATGCTTTGACTTCTTGATTCTCTCTTGTTTCTCTAAGGAAATAGTAAGATCACGGTTTCTGTGGTTATTTCTTAAATATAAGCAGTTAGCAGAGTACGGTATTAAATGTATTGAAAATCTTTAGGCCTAATTAACATTGAGTTACCAGCAAGTAGGGAAAGATGTTTATGTGTACAATTATAAAATATCTTGTCACATGGGAATGAAAATTGTGTCAATCAGATGATGATATTTGAGTCAACACCTGTTATCTTGGAAAGGGTTAATAAACATACAGCTCTGATAACAATTCTTGAAGGTGGAGGGGGAGGGGGTGGGGCAATGACCTGCCGTGAATGAATTCCTTCAGACTAGTCGGGTGATCATTTATTGGTTAAGTATGAAGTGATACGATTAGGCACTAATATAAAAGTGAAAACCGTTTTCTTACTATTTCTCTCACTAATTATTGTGTTCATTGTTAAACACCTGGGTTTGATGTCCCACATGGGTAGTTTGTGAACCCCTTGCCATCAACCTGAAAGTGACACAGACACTGTAATGCTGAATCAGCTAAAAACTTCACTCCATTCTTTATGTGATAAGTTCCATATTTGAAATCCGTATTGTAGTTTTATAGAATCTGAACAAATGGAATAGGTTGTACCGTGAAAGGGAAATTATGATACCTCAGATGAATTGATCACTATTTATTTAAGAAATGCATGAAGTTTTAGACCATTTGATAATTCACACAGTATCCGTAATTCAAGTTTTGAACATTTCAGATAGGTGAGTGAAAGGATATGACAGGATGTATTGCTGATATATTCCTGATATCAACTGTGAGAAAAAGCACATAAGGCCTAAACAAACTGTCCCCTTTCTCTATGATTTTTATCTCATACTTACATTACACAAAGTGGCTTACAAACTGTTTGGAGGACAAAAACACTGTCTTGACTAAAAGCTTGGGGAATCACTTAACATTTAGAGAAATGTATCTCACCAACATAACATCAGTTGAGATTTGAAGTGTTACATTTGTCTTGGCCTGAAGGTTGATGCAGTGTTCATGCTTCTCTGTCAGTCTGTCATCGTCTTGTCTGTTGTAGCAGTTGTCCAGTATGTAAGATATGTACATACAGTATACGAATATCAGTGGAAACTTGATGGCATTAAAGTGCTATGTATTTCTTATTCATGTGTCATACTCTTCTTCAAAAAACACCATGGTCAGTAGTTGACACCATGGTCAGTAGTGGACACCATGGTCAGAGGTAGACACCATGGTCAGAGAAAGACACCATGGTCAGTAGTGGACACCATGGTCAGAGGTAGACACCATGGTCAGGGGTAGACACCATGGCACCAGGGTCAGTAGTGGACACCATGGTCAGAGGAAGACACCATGGTCAGAGGAAGACACCATGGTCAGAGGAAGACACCATGGTCAGAGGAAGACACCATGGTCAGAGGTAGACACCATGGTCAGGGGTAGACACCATGGCACCAGGGTCAGTAGTTGACACAATGGTCAGTAGTGGACACCATGGTCAGAGGTAGACACCATGGTCAGAGAAAGACACCATGGTCAGAGGAAGACACCATGGTCAGAGGAAGACACCGTGGTCAGTAGTGGACACCATGGTCAGGGGTAGACACCATGGTCAGAGGTAGACACCATGGCACCAGGGTCAGTAGTGGACACCATGGTCAGGGGTAGACACCATAGTCAGAGGTAGACACCATTATCAGAGGTAGACACCATGGTCAGTAGTGGAAACCATGGTCAGAGGTAGACACCATGGTCAGGGGTAGACACCATGACACCAGGGTCAGAAGTGGACATAATGGTCAGGGGAAGACCCCATGACACCATGGTCAGGGGAAGACAACATGACACCATGGTCAGGGGTAGACACCATGGTCAGAGGAAGACACCATGACACCATGGTCAGAGGTTGACAACATGATCAGAGGTAGACACCACGGTCTGTAGTGGACACCATGGTCAGAGGTAGACACCATGGTCAGAGGAAGACACCATGGTCAGAGGAAGACACCATGGTCAGAGGAAGACACCATGACACCATGGTCAGAGGTTGACACCATGATCAGTAGTGGACACCATGATCAGAGGTAGACACCACGGTCTGTAGTGCACACCATGGTCAGAGGTAGACACCACGGTCTATAGTGGACACCATGGTCAGGGATAAACACCATGATCAGTAGTGGACACCATGGTCAGAGGTAGACACCATTGTAAGAGGTAGACAAAATGGTCAGTATTGGGAACGATGGTCAGGGGAAGACACAATGACATCATGGTCAGTAGTAGGCATAATGGTCAGGGGTAGACACCATTGTCAGTAGTGGACACGATGGTCAGGGGAAGACACCATGACACCATGATCAGTAGTGGGCACGATGGTCAGGGGAAGACACCATGCTCAGGGGTAGACACCATGCTCAGGGGTAGACACTGTGGTCAGGGGTAGACACTGTGGCCAGGGGCAGACACCGTGGTCAGGGGCAGACACCGTGGTCAGGGGTAGACACCGTGGTCAGGGCCAGACACCGTGATCAGTAGTGGGCACGATGGTCGGGGGAAGACAACATGACACCATGGTCAGTAATGGACACGATGGTCAGGGGAAGACAACATGACAGCATGATCAGTAGTGGGCACGGTGGTCAGGGGAAGACACCATGACAGCATGATCAGTAGTGGGCACGATGGTCAGGGGAAGACACCATGACACCATGGTCAGTAGTAGGCATAATGGTCAGGGGTAGACACCATGGTCAGTAGTGGGCACGATGGTAAGGGGAAGACACCATTGTCAGTAGTGGACACGATGGTCAGGGGAAGACAAAATGACACCATGATCAGTTGTGGGCACGATGGTCAGGGGAAGACACAATGACACCATGATCAGTAGTGGGCACGATGGTCAGGGGAAGACACAATGGCAGGATGATCAGTTGTGGGCACGATGGTCAGGGGAAGACACAATGACACCATGATTAGTTGTGGGCACGATGGTCAGGGGAAGACACAATGACATGATGATCAGTAGTGGGCACGATGGTCAGGGGAAGACACAATGATATGATGATCAGTAGTGGGCACGATGGTCAGGGGAAGACACAATGACACCATGATCAGTAGTGGGCACGATGGTCAGGGGAAGACACCATGACACCATGGTCAGTAGGGGGCGCGATGGTCAGGGGAAGACACAATGACACCATGATCAGTTGTGGGCACAATGTTCAGGGGAAGACACAATGACATGATGATCAGTTGTGGGCACGATGGTCAGGGGAAGACACCATGACACCATGATCAGTTGTGGGCACTTTGGTCAGGGGAAGACACCATGACACCATGATCAGTAGTGGGCACGATGGTCAGGGGAAGACACAATGACACCATGGTCAGTAATGGACACGATGGTCAGGGGAAGACACAATGACACCATGAGCAGTTCTGGGCACGATGGTCAGGGGAAGACACAATGACACCATGATCAGTTGTGGGCACGATGGTCAGGGGAAGACACAATGACACCATGATCAGTTGTGGGCACAATGGTCAGGGGAAGACACAATAACATGATGATCAGTTGTGGGCACGATGGTCAGGGGAAGACACAATGACACCATGGTCAGTTGTTGGCACGATGGTCAGGGCTAGACATCATGGCACCATTGTCAGTAGTGGGCACGATGGTCAGGGGAAGACACAATGACACCATGATCAGTAGTGGGCACGATGGTCAGGGGAAGACACAATGACACCATGGTCAGTAGTGGGCACAATGGTCAGGGGAAGACACAATGACACCATGATCAGTAGTGGGCACGATGGTCAGGGGAAGACAACATGACATGATGATCAGTTGTGGGCACGATGGTCAGGGGAAGACACCATGACACCATGATCAGTTGTGGGCACTTTGGTCAGGGGAAGACACCATGACACCATGATCAGTAGTGGGCACGATGGTCAGGGGAAGACACAATGGCAGGATGATCAGTTGTGGGCACGATGGTCAGGGGAAGACACAATGACACCATGATTAGTTGTGGGCACGATGGTAAGGGGAAGACACAATGACATGATGATCAGTAGTGGGCACGATGGTCAGGGGAAGACAACATGACAGCATGATCAGTAGTGGGCACGGTGGTCAGGGGAAGACACAATGACACCATGATCAGTAGTGGGCACGATGGTCAGGGGAAGACACCATGACACCATGGTCAGTAGGGGGCGCGATGGTCAGGGGAAGACACAATGACACCATGATCAGTTGTGGGCACAATGTTCAGGGGAAGACACAATGACATGATGATCAGTTGTGGGCACGATGGTCAGGGGAAGACACCATGACACCATGATCAGTTGTGGGCACTTTGGTCAGGGGAAGACACCATGACACCATGATCAGTAGTGGGCACGATGGTCAGGGGAAGACACAATGACACCATGGTCAGTAATGGACACGATGGTCAGGGGAAGACACAATGACACCATGAGCAGTTCTGGGCACGATGGTCAGGGGAAGACACAATGACACCATGATCAGTTGTGGGCACGATGGTCAGGGGAAGACACAATGACACCATGATCAGTTGTGGGCACAATGGTCAGGGGAAGACACAATAACATGATGATCAGTTGTGGGCACGATGGTCAGGGGAAGACACCATGACACCATGGTCAGTTGTTGGCACGATGGTCAGGGCTAGACATCATGGCACCATTGTCAGTAGTGGGCACGATGGTCAGGGGAAGACACAATGACACCATGATCAGTAGTGGGCACGATGGTCAGGGGAAGACACAATGACACCATGGTCAGTAGTGGGCACAATGGTCAGGGGAAGACACCATGACACCATGATCAGTAGTGGGCACGATGGTCAGGGGAAGACACAATGACACCATGGTCAGTAATGGACACGATGGTCAGGGGAAGACACAATGACACCATGAGCAGTTCTGGGCACGATGGTCAGGGGAAGACACAATGACACCATGATCAGTTGTGGGCACAATGTTCAGGGGAAGACACAATGACATGATGATCAGTTGTGGGCACGATGGTCAGGGGAAGACACCATGACACCATGATCAGTTGTGGGCACTTTGGTCAGGGGAAGACACCATGACACCATGATCAGTAGTGGGCACGATGGTCAGGGGGAGACACAATGACACCATGGTCAGTAATGGACACGATGGTCAGGGGAAGACACAATGACACCATGAGCAGTTCTGGGCACGATGGTCAGGGGAAGACACAATGACACCATGATCAGTTGTGGGCACGATGGTCAGGGGAAGACACAATGACACCATGATCAGTTGTGGGCACAATGGTCAGGGGAAGACACAATAACATGATGATCAGTTGTGGGCACGATGGTCAGGGGAAGACACCATGACACCATGGTCAGTTGTTGGCACGATGGTCAGGGCTAGACATCATGGCACCATTGTCAGTAGTGGGCACGATGGTCAGGGGAAGACACAATGACACCATGATCAGTAGTGGGCACGATGGTCAGGGGAAGACACAATGACACCATGGTCAGTAGTGGGCACAATGGTCAGGGGAAGACACAATGACACCATGATCAGTAGTGGGCACGATGGTCAGGGGAAGACAACATGACATGATGATCAGTTGTGGGCACGATGGTCAGGGGAAGACACCATGACACCATGATCAGTTGTGGGCACTTTGGTCAGGGGAAGACACCATGACACCATGATCAGTAGTGGGCACGATGGTCAGGGGAAGACACAATGGCAGGATGATCAGTTGTGGGCACGATGGTCAGGGGAAGACACAATGACACCATGATTAGTTGTGGGCACGATGGTCAGGGGAAGACACAATGACATGATGATCAGTAGTGGGCACGATGGTCAGGGGAAGACACAATGATATGATGATCAGTAGTGGGCACGATGGTCAGGGGAAGACACAATGACACCATGATCAGTAGTGGGCACGATGGTAAGGGGAAGACACCATGACACCATGGTCAGTAGGGGGCGCGATGGTCAGGGGAAGACACAATGACACCATGATCAGTTGTGGGCACAATGTTCAGGGGAAGACACAATGACATGATGATCAGTTGTGGGCACGATGGTCAGGGGAAGACACCATGAC